CTACCCAGGTTGGAATTGGGGGTCGGTACAGGGTGAGGACCAACACTAGGTACTTCTTGGTGTGCCAGAGGGCTTGAAGCTGACACAATGTGTCCCCTAGAGTAATAGCTGATGACCAGGTATGCCCCCACCTCACCAGAGCCCGGGACAGTACCAACAGTAAGGGGAGAGAAAGCCGGAGGCCAGACAGGTGGGGGTCCAGAGGAGTGGGGTGTAGACCCCTCTCGTGGCAGGGGGAGCACTAGAGAGAGGCCCCAATCTGTCCACCCCAGGTCGGTCCCTCATTCAGCCTGCTCAGGCTCCCCAGACTGGTTCCCACCACTTTCCAGTACAGGGGGCCATCTGCTGCCCCCACAATCCCACACAGATTCTGCTATCCTCCTTGCTAACTTCACAGCACAGGGGGTATGAAGCTCATGCCTCTACCAGCCTGGTGCCCATTGGTGGCATTGCCCTGCCAGCCAGGTCACTCCTAGCCCCCTTTGTAGGCAGGAAGGGCTCAGGCAGTGGCCGTTATGAATTGTACCCCCCAAAAATATGTATTGTATGTCTTCATCTCTATGCCTGTGGTTATGATCCCATTTGGGAAAGGGTTGTCACTGTTCTGTGGATGAGGCAGGGTTTGTGTAGGGTGTGTTGGGTCCATCTTTTGTGGTACAAAGGAGATTAAACAAGCAGAGATGGGAAGGAGATGCTAAACCACATGAAGGAAGCCTAAGAGCAGTTCAGAGACAAGGCCTTTCCTCCACAGCCACAGACATCAAGCCTGCCTGGAACGCTGGCCCCTGAATTGGGAATTCTAGCCTCAACTTGAATAATAAACTTGTGCTTGCTCAAGCCGCCCACGTGTGGTATTTCTGTTATAGCAGCGCTGAAGAACTCAGACAGCCCAGCGGCTGCCAGAATCAGGATTTGGATGTGAAAGCTTCGCGCCTATTTGGGTCGCTCATTATTTTTTTAAAAGAGCGGGACGCTAAAAATAGCAGCGGATGCATAGCAAATGTGAAGTCATTATTCTCGCTCACTCAGGATGGCGAAGGAAGGAACGGGCTGCATTATTTAGATGTTCGGGCAGCTGGCTTATTTTAGTCCCTGGTAGGAGAGAGGGGTGTTTGCAACTCTCAACTTCTTTAGAGTGGTGGGGGTAGGGGGGTGGGGGCATACCCTGAGGTCCTCTGGATCCCCACACTGGGGTGGGTGATGAGCGAGGAAGGTCCCAATTCATCCAGGATCCCAGATGCTGGTCCCTCTCTTGGGTGACCCAGGGGAGATGGGAGTGGTGACTGGGTCTGGCCATGCCCTGAGGGTCCCTGCCAGGGGCTGTGCCAGGTGTGGGTGCAGGGAAGGCCTTGGAGGGGAGCAGGCACCGAGTGGGGGAATCTGGTGTAGCAGAGGGGTGTGCTAGGGGAGTGAGGTGAGAGGTCAGCTCTCAAGGGGACAAGCTGGGTCTATGCTAAAGGTGGCAGAACCTTCTGGGAGTTCAAGAGGAACCGGGAAGCAAGGAGCTGATTCCCCAGTTAGCAAGGTAAGCATGGATTTACTTGTGCTTACTGAGCTCTAGTGAACAATTTCAGTACAGATTAGTAAGTGAGCAAGGGTAGTAAACAATGTTGAAACTGTTCTCTACAGCTCAATAAGCACAATGAAGTCAGTGCTTACCTTGCTGATTTGGCCCTCCGCTGCCCCGTCAGGGAATGTCAAGTTGAACGGAGGCCTTGATGCTGAAGGGAGAAGCTGCTTTGAGCTGGGAGGGGGCAGAACCTCTGTTGTGGTGGGAACGTGGGAAAACTGGTCATTGCCAACAGTAAGTCCACACAAGTCAGCCTGTGCTTATCTCGTTTACAGGAGGGCACAGTCCAGGGGTGGACACTCACAGGGACCCCAGGCTCACCCATCATTCCCAATCCATCTGACCCCACAGGTAGTGGAGAGCTGAAGGGACTAACCTTAGACACAGCGATGCTGGAGACAGGGAGAAAGGTTCCCGTACACACATGGGGGTCCAAGCTCACTGAGATGGGGGCCCATTCCAGCCCTCATGCCACCAGGCCTCTTCAAGCCCTGCCGAAGGCTGGGGGAAGGCAGGGCTTACAAGTGGACACTGAGGAATAGGGGAGTTACTACTGTTTAACCCCCAACATCCTGGTCCCCCACAAGGCCACTCCTGAGTCTCAGTCTGCTCCCTGCCTTGTGCCCCGGATCCCCCTGGGCCTAGCCTGCAAAGCTCACACTTCTTCAGTGGGGAGCTGAGGCCTTTGTCTGGAGGCCATGCAAGAGGGGCAGGGGTCATGTGTGCCCCCCGTCCGGCTGTCCTAACATGAGCCCACAGAGGGAGGGGCAGGTATGTAAAGAGTGGAAGCTTTCTCATCTGGAGTTGGTTTCTTCTTCCTCAGGGAGGAACTGCTCTAGTCTCTCCCTGCTTCCGGTGACCTTGGCTGCTTGAAGTAGAAAGCCCATCCGTGCCTGCTCTGTGATGATTCAACTAATAACGTCTTCTAAGAAAGACCCGGTTTCTAAACACGGTCACAGAGTCAGGGATGGAGGCACCATCTGCCCACTGTACCAGGTAGCTACCACCTGCAGAGACCACCTCACTGCAGAGGGCTCCAAGTCCACTCCTGTGTCCAGCTGACCTCCATCCACCGAGGTCCTGCCAAGGGCGAGCGAAGATGTCCTTCCGGTCCAGGCAGGGAGCACCTGTGACGGTCACTGGAAAGCTTGTTGGCAGGGCCAAGGGCAGTTCTGGGTGACCTGGCAGCCAGTAGCTCCCCGTGGGCTCGTGTCCTGGCTGTCTCAGCTGCGATGGCCTATATAACACTGTGTGGCCCGGACACCTGAGCCTGCTGGGGGTCCCGGAGAGGCCCAGGCCATGTGGAATTTGGCCCAGGGTCCCCTAGTTTTGGGGTTAGGATTCCTGGGCTGGGTTGGGGCCGCGTACATGTTGAGTGTATGGGTGCTGAAGTATGCACATGGGTGTGTGTAATAACTCGGGTGGGGGATCCTCTCCTGCTCACTCTGATGGGGGGACAGGAGCCCGCACCGCACCCCCCGCAGCCCCGTGGAGGTCAGCAGGCCCAGCACTGCCCAGCCCAGCAGGTGGAGACTCCAGTTCTCACACCCGGACCTCACAGCCTCCTCTCTTCCCGTCTAGCTTAGCCCCGGGGGCCCACTGGGTCCTCTCCCTGCTACCTATGCTACCTGGAACCTCTCACCCACCCCAGCAAGCTCCTACAGGGCCTGTCCACAAGGAAAGTCCAGGGGCACAGGGCACTGCCCTTCTCCCAATCTTGGACCCCTCCTCCATGTCTGTTGACTCCAGGACCTGGAGTCCATCCCAGCCCATCTAAATTTCCTTGTCTGTCCCAGCCACCACCTCCCGAGCAGCACTACAATCTCAGCTCGCTCTGGGGCTATCTGTCCCTCCTCGGGAGGCGCTGGGTGGGGAGGGAGGGGTGCATTCTTCCAAGGGCAGCAAGAAGGAGGCTTGGGGGCAGGCTTAGAGTACTTGTCCACTGCTGATGGACTGAACCTCCCTGCTCGGCACCGGTGCACCCTCTACACCCCATGAAGCCCATGATGCAGCTCCGATGAGCTCCACCTGCATACATGACCAGTCCCTGCAGGTAATGCACCTGTGGGTGTGGAGCTCAGAGACCCTCAGACAGCACTAGGCAGAGGTCCCAGCAGGCATCTCAACTCTACCACAGGGAGCTGCCCGCCACTCCCCAGAGGTCCAACCTTCCATAAAATCCTGACTGAGTCCCCAAGGTCACAGGAGGGGAGGGCAGGTACCCAAGGACCCTGCCACAGACCCACGGGGCACTTAGCATGGACCCCAAGAGATACAGTGTCCCGGGGCTCCTGGGAGTCTCCACACCCGGGACGGTGTCAGCAGCCAAGCCCCTTCTCCAACAGTTCCTATATTTTAAACCAAACCCCCACCACCCGTGGCTCCTACACTGCCCAGTCAGGGAGCTTGTAGGGGGTGGGAAAGGAGCAGGAAAGCTCACTGCTCAGACCTGCCTTTGCTCCAGCTGTGAGGACAGATGTCCCCACATGGGACACTCGGGGCAGAAGACACGGGCCTGGTGCCGCTCTGTGTGCTTGTTCCCACTGTAGGTCCCTGTCCCCAGGGCCAGGGGCACTGCCAGCCTTCCTGCAGAGCTCATGTCTTCTCTGGTCACCCCGAGCTGCCCACCCCCAGCCAGTGACGGAGTGCCTGGCCCACTGGCCTCTGTTGGCTCAGCCTGGCCCTGCTGCTGTTCCCGAGGAGTTCCTGGTGGTGCTGGAGGAGGGCGGCCCACCTCCCTGGAGGAAGCCCACCCATCACCTAACCCATCCTTCAGAAAAGCAAGGGGGCAGTGGTGGGTGTCGGGGACAGTGCGGGTGGCACAAGGAGCTCAGAGCCGCATCTGCCATCACGGGAGGAAAGGGGGCCCCCGAGGAGGAGCATCACAGTTACCAGCAAGCTGCGGCTGTGAGCATGCCGCCCGCCCGCCCACCCGCCCACCAGGCCTTCCGCAGGCACCGTGGGCATCCATCCACTCGGGATCCATCAGAGAAAAGTTTAGTCATCAGAAAATAGTTTAATTATGTACAGGACGATCAGCAGACTGATTACATAAAACAAGATGCAAATATACACCTTCCGAGTCAAGAAAACAAAACAATACGCTTAGCAAATGCATCTGGACACAGACCTGCAGTTGTTGCACCGGTGGGGACCCACCAGAGTCAATCACTAACCGTGAAGTCGGCGGAGGAGCGCAGGCGGAGGACGCTTTCCTGGGGCGGGAAAGCAGAGGCCCCCAGCAGCCTAGGCCTGGCAGCTCTGGAATGACTCTCCCTTCGGGCACCTGCGTAGTGGTGCTCGGTCCATGAAGAGAGGGCGGGGTGGGGGGACGGTCCAGGCTGCCACGAAGCCCAGGCTGGCCCGGGTGCCCGAGGAGCGTCCTGCCCCTGCCCCGCGCTGGTTCCTGTAGTCTCCATCACGTGGACGCTCAAAAGAGAGGCCGGGAGCCCTGGTTCTCAAACTCGGACCAGGCGTCGCTGAGCTCCATAAAGATCATCTTGGCATACTGCTCGTAGGGCTGGCCCGTGGCCTGCGGGGGTGGACAGCCGTGAGTGTGGCACCTGCTCACTCCTTCAGGGCCACTGTCACGCGCTTGTCCCTGTTAGGGGGAGGGCCCTGCTCACCTTATCGGGGTGCACGACCAACACGGCGCGGCGGTAGTGCTTCTTCACCTGGCTGGGCGTCACCAGGTCGGCCATGCCCACGGGCGTCCAGCGGTTCTCGCCATCCCAGAGCACCGTGTGCAGTGTGGAGAGCAGCGCACGGATATTGCGCTCTTTGCCTTCGATCCAGTCGAGGAGCTGGGGGGACATGCACGTGGGAGCCTGTCTCAGGCCTTGTGCCTCAGCCCCCACGGGTGTGCAGGCCTGAGGCGACTTGGCAGGTGGGGGGCTCTAGTTTGTGCCCAGACTCTCCCAGGAAGAGCAGTCCCCGTGGGGAGCAGAGATCTCTGGATAAACCCCTGCTCCAAGGAGCAGCCCTCAATGCCTCCAATCTCGCTCTCCCTGGGGGGTGGGGGCCAAGCCCCAAAGACCGTAGGGTGGCCCTGGATGAGCTCAGAGGGAGTTCTATCCCTAAGTCCAGTCCAGCAATCTTCAAACGGCTCTGATCACCAGGGGGACAGGACATCCAACAGTCTGTCCTGGCTTCTCCAGAGACTACCCCCCAGCGACAGGAAGGGTGACCACCTGTGTCTGCCTTTGCTTATAGCTGACAGTACACGGTCAAACAACCAGACAGACGGGAGGGGACGCTGGCCCCAGGTCCAGAGCTGTCACTTACCTTGGCCACCCAGGACAGCTGCCCCCAAGATGCACCCCGGCCCAACCTGTGTCAGCGGCTAAACGGTGCCCACCCACTGCATGTATCACATTCCCACAGGGTGCAGGCCCCAAGCGGGCCAGCCCTGGACAGAGACGGTCATGGGGTGTGTTTTGGACAAAGACATCTAAGGGGGTGTGGGAGCCTGAGTCGGGGAGCACAGCCTCACGCTCACCCCAATCTCTGTATTCCACTCACTGGCCATATCGAAGAAACCCTGGACAGCCTGGTCATACTGTCCCTGCCAGGTTCCTGTTGGACCACGGTCCTCTGATGCCCCCTGCTGCTCATCCTACGAGGATGCCCTGCGCTGAGCTCTCAGCGTCTCCCCAACACTGGGATGGATCCCCATAGGTGACGGGTCCGGCCTGAGACCAGGCACATGGTCTCTGAGGGCTGTCCTGAGGTGCCATTCCCACCCTGTGTGGTGGTCCTGCCTGGTACCTCTGCAGGCTCTCCTCACGGTGGGCTGTCACCTTCCTTGGTCTTAGTGCTGCCTTAGTCAGGGTGGGCCTGGGACCACGCACATCCCTCCTGAACAGAGGCTTTTCCTGCCCATCCCCCACTGGGCGCCCCTTTGCCTCCAGAAGCCGGGGGGAGCCCTAGTGGAGCTCAGCCCACCCTACGGGGCTGCACGGGTGTCCCGTCCCCTTCTCCTGCTCACATCAGGATGCTGACAACCCGTGCTCCCCCACATGCTCACTGCATCCCCACCCTCGTCCGCACAGCCTCGACCAAAGCCCCTGCAGGTCGGTGGGCACATGAGCACCAGCCCCCAGCCCTCAGCAGAACCCCAGGCTCCGTGGGTGAGCCGCACCTTCAGCTTGAGCGGGTCCGTGTCTCGAGCCATCTCCTGCTTCCTCATCTCAGCGATGGTCTTTGGTCCTTTCTTGTCAGACTTGGAGGAAAAGCCTTCATTGGGCAGCAAATCCTCAAAGTCATTCTCGGAAACTTTTGGCTTTTGGGCTAGAAAAGAATAATACTGTCTTGTAAGTGACACGGGGGCGTACCCTGACTCCCCTTAACCTACTCCGGGAGGAGCCCCAAACCTGAGGTGGGAAACTGTCCCCGTACATACAGACAGGAAAAAGACAGGGCCAGCCTCCCAAAGGTGGACCAGGCCCATCTGGACACCCGGGAGCAGAGGGTTGCATGGCAGTTCTCTTGGTTTCTGTCGCCTCACTGGGCCAAGCACCACAACATGTGTGCCCTCAAGCCTGCTGGCCCCCGCGTGTCCCCTCACTGGCTCCCAGGACCAGAAGGGTGTCACCTGCTCAGATTCCAGGTGCTCTATGCCAGAGCCCTGGACTGGCCTTGCTCACTCTGCCTCAGTCAGAGAGGACACAGGACAGCAGGAGCCAGCAAGCAGCTGGACCGAACGTAGGGAAGGGTGTGAAGGAGGACGTAACGTGCGGCATGCCATCCACTCCAGGGTGACAAACACCAGGGCTTGGACTTGGGGGGCTACAGAATGACTGTCTGGCAGTCCCGGGGCAGGAGGTGGGCTGAGGTTTCCCAGGACTGTGACGGGAACCTTTCCTCAAGTCTCCTGCTTGGACCCTTCCCTGGCCACCCTAAGATGCAGGGTCGTCCACGCTGACAGGAAGACACGTTACTCTTCAAAACTGTTATCCTTCAACCACTAGAGAGAGGTGCTCAGTCTGATTTCTCTCTGCCTTCCCAAAGGGATTCACTTTGCAACACACACACACACACAGAAACAAAGGCTCACCGAAGCTGGGCACACGGACGCCTCTCTCCTCGCGGCTCCCAATCACACTGAAGTTCATAGCATAGTTAGGCCTCGACAGTGGGCAGGCTTTGGCAGAGGGCGGCTTGGCCTGGGGGGACCAGGAAGTGCCCTGGGCGGTAGACCGGCTTGTCTGCCAGGAGCCACCAGCACCCTTGGGAGGTGGGGCCGTCTTGGGAATGAAACCACCAGGAGGGAACCCGCTGGGCGAACCTGAGGAGACAAGGCAGTGTGACTCAGGGACATGGAGTGGCACAACCAAACACAGCGGGGAAAGACAGCTTACAACTAGGACACGAGTGTGTGTCTCAGCACTCTGAAAACACAGACACTGAAACACAGCAATTTAAGTTAGTCAAGAATCATCAACCTTGCCCCCAGCATGTGAGAGATGGACTCCCACCACCCCAGAGCATGTGAGGGTCTCTGAGTCTGTCCCCTAGTATGTGAAGAAAGGTCTTCCACACCCCACTGCATGTGACTACCCCTCAGCACGTGAGGAAGGGTCTCCAGTAGCAGTAAAGCACAGAGCTGGTTCTGGATCACCGTCAGACCATAAGGCAGGCCAGCTGTGGAGGTGACGCTCCTCCCTCAGCTGGATTTGTCCCTGACACAGTCCAACTGGCATGGTCAGCCTGGACAGGAGAAAGTGGTCAGACAGCATCCTCCTGTCCTCCATGAGGCAATCCCTCCCAAAGCCTCCAAATCACAGGACTTGAAAACTGCTTTTTATTTTGAAATTATTACTTACAGGAAGTTGCAACACTGACCCCAAGAGGAGGTCTTCCTGAGTGGCCAGTCCCCCATGATACGACTGTCATCACCCAAACCAAGGATGGGTCACCCTGAGTGCTCAGCCCAGTGCTCCCCGCACATGGGCTAGGTCTCACGTGATTGTCATTACTAAGACCACCCATGAGTACATTCAGGTCTGTTCACTGTTACCTACATGTGTGTGCAGCCATGCATGCAGGTCTGTTCACTGTTACCTACGTGTGTGTGCACCCATGCATACAGGGGTGCATGCAGTTTCACCTGTGTATGAATTTGTGCCAGTGCAAAACCATCAAGCCCCAGGCCTGTCCCCACCCCTCCGAGGGACTTCCTCATCGTGCCCTTCAAAGCTACACCCAGCCCTCTACTCCACCTGACCCTAACGCTAACGCCACGACCAACCTCTACTTCTGTCATTTCCAGAACGTTCTACTCATGCAATCATACGGTAGGTGGCCTTTTCACTGTGTAATGCCCATCACGTCACTGTGGATAACCACAGCGGGTAGTGTCCATCACGTCACTGTGGACAACCACAGCGGGTAGTGTCTATCATGTCACTGTGGACAACCACACTTTATTGGATTATCTGCTCAGCATACAGACTGAATAAGTATGGTGTAACCCTGGCACACACCTTTCCTAATTTTAAACCATTCAGTGTTCCCTTGTTCTGTTCAAACAACTGCCTCTTGGTCCATGTACAGGTTCCTCTGGACCACAGTTAAGTATTCCGGAACACTCATTCTCTGAGATCTGTCCACAGCTTGTAACGGTCCAGACAATCGAAAGCCTTTGTGTAGTCAATAAAGCACACGTAGAAGTTTTTGTGGTGGTCTCTGTTTTTAACCAAGCTCTACTGACATCAGCAATGATACCCCACGTTCCACCTCCTCTTCTGAATCTGGCTTCAACCTCTGGGTCTGCTGTGACAATGTAGGGACAGCCACTTTTGTATTTTCTTTAGCAACGTTGTGCTTGCATGCACGATTAACGATATTGTCTGATGATTTCCGCATTCTGTGGGGTCACCGCTTTGGAATGGCCACCAATATGGATATCTTTCAATCAGTTGGCCAGGTAGTTAGTTGTCTTCCAAATTTCTTGGTAGAGATGAGTGAGTTACTCCAGTACTGCATCAGTTTGTTGAAAGATTTCAATGTGCTAGCTCTGGTAGCATAGTGGTTATAAATCGGGCTGCGAACCGCAAGGTCAGCAGTTCAAAACTACCAGCTGTTCTGTGGGAGAAAGATGACGCTTTCTGCTCCCGTAAAGATTTACAGCCTTGGAAACCCTGTATAGGGTCACTATGAGTCGGAAACAACTCCATGGCACATCACAACAACAACAAACCCTGTACAGGGTCGCTATGAGTCGGAACCGACTCCACGGCACATCACAACAACAAAGGGAACCAATCACAGAGATTCAAGGGAAACTTCACTACCACCACAGGCCAGCCTCCATTCCGTGTTCTCCGTTCTCGGTGGTGATAGGCCTCGTTCGCCAGGTTTCCATGACTTTGCAGCTATCCTACCTGATCCACCCTATTCATTCTACTTACTAACAGCTTGTTGAGGATTTTTAGGTCGATACTCATGAGCAATACTGTCTGCAGTCTTCTTTTCTCGTACTGTCTCTGTTTGCTTTAGATGTCAGGGTAATATTGGCCTTGTTGACTAAGCTGGGAAGACATCTCCGTGAAACCATCTGGGCCTGAACAAATCTCTCACTATGCTTATTCAGTCTCTAGGCTGAGCAAAGAATCCGAAAAGCTCGACCATATGAAGAAGAACATGGCATCAGGATTGGAGGAAGGCTCGTTAATATCCCGCGATGTGCAGATGCTACAACCTGGCTTCCTGGCTTCAGTATGGGCTGCACACCTCAGTGTAAAGAAAGCAAAACACCTCACAGTCGGACGAACACACAGTAACGTGATAAATGAGGAGACTAAGTCAAGGAGTTCGTTTTACTAGAATCCCGTATCAACTCCCATGGAATCGGCAGTCAGGAAATCAAATGACGTACGGCATTGGGAAAGTCTGCTATACAAGACCTCTTTCAAGTATTAAAAAGCAGACCTGTCACTTGGAAGACTAAGGATATGAAATATACCTTGGACTCCCACAAGAATGAACAAATCTGTGTTTAGAAGGAGGGCACCCAGAAAGCTCTTTAGAGGTGAGGGTGGTGAGTTTGTCTCACGTTCTTTGCTGCTGTACCTGCCGTCATGTCGGCCCTGCCTCTGAGCAGCCCCGTGCACAGCACAATGAAACACTGCCCGGTCCTGGGCCAGCCGCAGGCCATTGTTGTAATGTTTGAGCCCATTGTTGTAGGCCCTGTGACAATCCATCTCCTTGGGGGGCTTCCTCTTTTTCGTTTCCCCTCCACTTTGCCAAGCACAATGTCTTTTCCTAGGACTGCTTCCTCTTGACAATCTGTCCAAATGACACCACATGACGTCTCGCCAGTCACACTTCTAAGAAGCACTGTGGCTGTACGTATTTCTTCCAAGACAGAGCTCTTTGTTTTTCTGGCAGTCCATGGTATTTTAGAAAATCTTTGCCAACATCATGACTCAAATGCATCCATGCTTTTCCAGCCTTCATTGTTCCCTGTCCAGCTTTTAGGTGCCTATGAGGTGACCGACAATACCATGGCTTGGGCCAGGCGTCCTTAAGTCCTCAGAGCAATACTTTAAAGAGGGCTTTTGTTCTGTAGTGCACAGCGTTGCTACGGGTCAGAACCTAGCAGCACGTTTGGCTGCATGAAGGGAAGGCCTTGACTCTCGCCACCCTGTTAACTGGGTGACGCTCTTGGGCACATCTCTGCCTACTGAGGCACTTTCTTCCCGGCAGCCTGAGCAGAGCAGAGCGCCAACGGGAATTCACTTGTGGAGGAAATACACACCAGCTCCACCACCAAGACATGGGATACCCATGACACACCCATCCACCCCACTGCCTGCAGATGCCCTCATAAACGTCAGCCCGGGCTTCTGATGCAGTCATCACAGCTGCTGGGGGTTGGGGCGGTGACCGCATGGGGCCTTCTCTCAGGAGGGCAGGCTGGAAGGCATTCACTGCTCTGCTTTGGTAATAGCTTAGGTTGCCAGTTAACAAGTTACTTGACTACAGTGAAAGCATTTTTACATCCTAGAAACACTTTGCAATCAGACATTTCCACCCTACTGTATTTGCTGTGAGGAGCCCAGGGGTTAGTTAAGCACTGGATTGACCACAAGGTCAGCAGTTCAAACCCACCAAGCATCCCACAGGGGAAAGATGAGGCTGTCTGCTCTTGTAAGATTTAGAGCCCACAAACCCTATGGAGCAGTTCCGCTCTGAACCACACAGAGGCTGTGCACCAGCTCGGACTGGTCTGCAGGGGCTGCGTTTGCTTTGGCATTCTCTGTGTCCTCGGCCTGGGAGGCAGGGCGAGCAGGTGTGAGGAGCCGTGGGCAGCTCAGAGTCTAGAGAGGCCAGGAGCCAAGGAGAGTAGGGAGGGTGCTCGCAGCAGGTGGGCTTTGTCGCCAACACTCCCAAGGTTCCTGACAGTGTCTACACAAGTCCTTTTCATACCTTCAAGGCACCTTACCTGAACCAAGGTCACCAAGGTCAGAAAAGGGATCCAGGTTCTGGGACTTGGTCCTACTGATGGAGGGGCCAGGTGGGGCTGCTGGCGGACCTCCAGAGGAGAAGAGGGGACCTGGAAAGGGAGAATGGAGTTAGGAACATGTGCCTCCCGGGAAGCCCTCCTCTGCTGTTCCTCCCGGAACCTCCCTCAGCCCAGCAGCTGAATCACTTTAAATAAGATGTGTGGCTTTCTGCTTGCAGTATCATAAGGTGTGGATGTGAGAGAGGACAAAACGGCGAGCCGTCTCAGAACACAATCTTGCGTGCTCCGATGCCCACACACAGTGGTGGGGCAGGCAGAGCTGTGTGTGGCTCCTTTTCAGAACACAAAAAAGCCTATCCAGACCCAAAAAGGTTCATGGTTTCCTCATGCTCCGTCCTGAGCTCTGTGGTACAGGGGAATGCGCCAGTATTCCTTAGGACCGCAAAAAGAAGTAGAGAAACATTCAAGTCCACCTCCAAGGATCACACGGCAAAGTTGCGCACGGCCATTAACAAGTGATGGCTGTTCTCTTTGTATAGAAAGAACTCTTATCAATTGATAGGAAAGTGAGCAGAGAACACCAAATGTTCTCACCAGAAAACCGCATAACCCAGATGAAACCGAACAGCAGTCGAGTTCATGGCAGTGGGGAGGTGGGACTGAGAGGAAGGGCCTTCCTGGCCCAGGGCAGGTGTGACCACAGAGATTACTAACAGCACGGATGGGCCGCAGTGGGGGCCGAGCCTAAGGTCTTGTCTGTACAAACACGTTTTCTCTGGTCCAAGGGGAGGGGGCGGAGGCGGACAGGGGCTCGGGGGACGGGGAGCATGTGGTGGACAAGGGGCTCCGCTGAGTGTGAGTGAGAAGGTGAAGTGCCCAGAGGCTCACACACTCCCCATGGCTGTGGTCACATGGAGTGCTGACCTGAGACAGTCCTGGTTGTTTTATGGCCGTATTCTTTGCATAACGTGAAAATAATCAGATAATGTAAAGGCACCTAAGGTCACAGGTGCACCCCCACCTGGAGCCCAGGCACCCCCAAAGTGGTGCCCTACCTTCTGCAGCAGGCTTGGGGGCTGGCAGGGACCCTGGGGTGTCAGCCCAAGCATCCCATCCTCCCAGGAGGTCCGGGTGGCTGGAGGAGCCTGTTATCCTGCTGGTTTCTGCAGGGAAGTCCTCTGGGAAGAAAGTGCCGGAGGAGTACTTCACAGCCTGCCCTGCACAGCCTGGTGCTTCATGTGTTCAGCCCCGCACTCTGGGTACCATGGTCCCAGTAGGGCCACTCAGGAGACGCTGCTACCAACTGCCTCCAGTGAATAGCTGGCAGGAGGTGGCCTCCACTGCCGCGGGTCCCTGAGGGGCAGCCCTCCATCATGTGGGCAGACTGTGCCCAGGCCACAGGCAGCAGCAGGCTCGGGTTGATGGGGCAAAGCTATCAAGCACTGAGTCCTGCCTCTCCCTCCTGCGGGGACGCCAGGAGACTCAGGTGCTCCCTGACCTGACACCTGGATACACAGTGACATTCACAAGCTAACGAGAACTCATGTCTGCATGTCACTCGTCCAGAAGGGACCCCTGTACCACCCCCTGCACCCACCAGGTGAGCTCAGATGCCCCCACCCACCTTTTCCTATAACTACCGGAGCCCATGGGGGTGAGGGTGCCTAGCCATCCCTCAACTCACACTGTGCCCGGACAGTGCTGGCACCTGGAGGCCACTGGGCCTGTCCACCCACAACCTGTCTACACTTGGTCACTACAACCAAGGCCCCCCTCCCCGCCCCCCCAGCTAGGGCCTAGCTCAGCCCATCAGGGAGACCCACACCCTGGCCCCTCCTTCTCCAAGGTTGTGCCTCTCCTAGCCCCTGGATTCTCGCCCTCAGCTCTGTGCAATCCCGCAGGTCTCTTGGTGCAATGAGTCGGTCCAGTCACCACCCCTCAAGCCTTCCAGGGACACACCCACCCTGCTCTCTCCCCAGCATACTGTCCCTGGGTTCGTCTGTTCCTCACCTACCCCTCGCACTATCCCAAGGACCCTGCAAACACATGTGCAGAACCACCGCAGCGCGTCCCGCTAGGGGGCGCAGCACGCTCCATTCTGGCTGACGTGCTGTGAATACTTTCCATCTAATTGGCGCTTCTATCTAAGACTAGTTTTCTGATCATCTACGTGAGGGTCGTCGCCAGGAACCAGCCAGCAGCAAGTTCTTGTGCTCTGCCAGAGGCGGTAAAGTCTCCCATAACACAGCCTTGGGGGGAGGGCGGGTCTGGGGGCGGGCTTACCCAGGTGCAGAAAATCTGCGCTGCAGGACGGGGGCGGGGCGCTGTGTGTGGTGGGGAACGAGGCTGTGGGCGGTGTGGCTGAGGGGTCGGGGTGAAGAAACTCGCCGAAGAGGTCAGAGTTGGCGCAGGTCTGAGTGTCTGAGCCAGCTGCCGTCAGGAAAGGGTCAAATGGGTCCGCTGGGGGAAGACAGTAAAAAAGATACAGGCGCGATCGTGTAAGGACGGCTCGAAGAGTTCCAGGCTGCGTCATAAGCGTCTGTATGACTCGCTGTGGAGTAAAGGACCCAGGGTCACCTAAGTAAAGTGACCTCTCTCCTTGGTGTAGGTAGTGGGTGGTCAGGGACAGATGAGTGCTGGCGAGTGGGGGCTGCCATACTCTCCTGGAGGCCGGCAGCCAACAGCCCCGAGAGCTTCCTGGTTGGTGTGAACGTCCACCTGCTCTGGGACGTGGGGCCGCCATACTGGGAACCGGGTGCTCTCCTTTCTGGCTGTAATTCACCTGTGTTGGCATTCTGTCAACGCTATGAGCTGGTCAGAAAGTAGGGGTCCTGTGGACTCCCGAGCCTGCGGTCAGCAGGTCACTGATACCAGTGTCCCTCAGCTTGTGGGCTGGGGGGCAGCCGGACGGACGGAGAGGATGGAAGGCAGGAATTGAATTCACACCGTTCTGGGGCCAGCCCCAGCTCCGCCCTGTCTCTCCATGGCTCGGCACATTTACAGATCTCTGAGCTGACCCATGAAGAGAGGATGTAGGTTGTCAGTCTCCACTAGCACAGCGACCCCTGGTGGCTGGCAGCAGGGAGTGGTGGAATACACAGGCAATCTCAGTTTTGAAGAGGGCAGAGCTGGCAACAGAGTGACAGGGACATCCATCCCAGCCCCACAGATCATGGGTGTTGTGTGTAGTCTCCCTCCAGCGGACAAACTTCAGCCCTTTGAGGCACCTGCTCCTCATCTGAAGGGGCTCTCAGGTGTGGGTTATGCTGGTTGGTGCTCTTGGCTGGACACCATAGAGCTGTGTACCACATGGGGATCACCAGCCAGGCTTGGTCACAGAGGGACCGTGGGCAGCACAGGGGTGGCGTCCTCCTTTGAAGAGGCCATCCCACATGGCAGCAGATGGTACACAGCGAGGAGGAACGTCGCTTTCTCTGGAGTACTTCAGCCAGCCACCCAGTGAGGCTGATGGAAGCCCTGATGTGGACCAATTGCACCTCTTCACCCCCCAGCCCACCATCCCCAGACCCAGCCTGACAGTCTCCAGGCATGGGTGGGTCGCTGCTGCATGGGACCACACCCTTGGAGTCTCACTTCCTCTCACCTGACCTGTCTGTGACTTTTCCTCGAGGACCACAGCACCCACCCACGGCTACCAGCAGCACACCCATCACCACATACCAGCGGGGGTGGGCCCCTCATGAGGGATGCTCTGAGCTCCAAGGGAGGTAGTGGGGCTGGCCAAGAGCAGGGGGGCCTCTCCGCCCAACAGGTCAGCCGTGGGCCCCTCAGGGGTGGTGGCCGAGGGCACGAAGAGGCAGCTGAGCAGGTCAGTGTTGCTGGAGGAGCCCCCGCCTCCCTGCACGGGGCATGCCGGCCCAGGACCCCGCTCCGAATGCAGCCCCAAAAGGTCCACACTGTCCTCTGGCGTGGGCTCTGGAGGCGGGGAGGGCGTCTCGGCAGCAAAAATCGGGTCTTGCTCTTCGGTAGTTCCTGCACAGGCTGCCCTATCATCGTCGGCTACGACCTCCCAGCTCTCCCCGGACAGGACCGCCACGTCCTCGTCTGACAGCTCACTCTCATCTCGGTCTTCAGGCAGGGCAGACGGGTATTCCTTGAGAACGTGGTTCTCGGTGCCAGTTTCTGACTCCTTCCCTTCTGTGGAAACAGCACAGGGGGAGAGGTCAGGGGACGCAGGTCATCAGAAACGGCACCCTAGACACGTGGGACCTGCCCGGTTGTCTGTGGCAGGACCCAGGCCTGGGCCTCTGCTCGAGAAGGAGGAGTCCCCCCTACTTCCTCTTCCCTCCATAGCAGGGCACATGGACCAGGAGCTAATGGGGAGATGCCCCGGGCAGGGCCAGGAGACATCTGGTTCTCCAGCCAAATGTCAGCACCTCAGAGACCCAGAAAGAGCAAAGAGTAGGGGCCCCAGGGGCAGGCAGTCAGGAGGGGAGGGAGAGAAGGGTCCAAAATGAAAACATTCTCTCACCACCAACTGGTCCAACACATGGGAGAAGGGGGGCCCATTGTGCTCTGCTGAGACAGGACACTGCCCACAGTGGTACAGACCAGCTGTCAACCTGGCCTCTGAGGGGCATCACCCATGACAGTGCTGACTGGCCACCCCCTCAGCTTCCTGTAGGGGACGGCACCTGCTCCAAAACCACCCTAACCAGGGGAGAGTCTGATGTGGGTAGGTGGGTGTCACGACGCAGGCTGGATGGAGCCCCTAAAGCCCAATAACTGTCCTTAGACCTCAGGTGGCCTGTGGGGGGCTGTGATGCCCCAGGCTCACCCAGAGGGCAGAAGGCTGGACAGGCGGATGACAGAGCAGTGAGGATGGCAGGGACCGGACAGTGTGCCCCGTGCTGGCACGTTTTGTTAGGAGACAGGCAGCTATGAGCCTGTGGCCCGGGCCTGCCTTCATGTTATGGTCTGACTGAGGGCCGGGGAGAGCAGCGTGGGGACCGTTGACAGCTGTCTGAGGACAGGCACTCCTCCTGGGCTCCCCACACCACGCAGCCTCAGTAGGTGTTCCACGACACACCCCTGAGCAGGCCCAACACAGCTGAGCAAGCAGGCTGTCTGGGAGGGTGGCAAGGGGCCGGCTGAGGGCAGGGCCTGGCAAACGTTTTCTTTCAAGGGCCAGACTTCATGGGTGCCCAGCACACAGGGTGTGACGCTGTAGAATAAGCACTAGACCACAAGGTTGGTGTGAACCTCACGGATGGTGGTTCAAACTCACCAGCCGCTCCTCGGAACCCTATGAACTGGATCCAACTCTACGGCACTTAACAACAACAACAACAACAACAAACACTGCCTGTGAGGCTATCTTGTCGGCCCTCAGCCTTGGCACCACCTCTGCCTCCTCTGGCGCCTTCAGTGACCCAGAGCGGGTGTCGGTACATCGTCCGAGAACGGCCGCTGTGCAGGGCACAGCAGGCAGACTGGTGGTAGGGTCTAGGGGGCCCTGACACATGGGCGATGGCGTCGTGGTGGCGTGAGGGCCCCTACCGTGCCAGTCGAGCGTGTGCAGAAAGCGGTTTGTGTCCGTGGTGCTCTGTGGCGAGTCCGAGCCCGTGGTCTCCCCTTCTGGGGACCGTGCCGCCACCTCAGCATCATACTGGGCCGAGGAGCCAGGCTGCCTGGGGAGTTCAGGCTTACCTGTCAGGTGAGGGACAAGTGTCAGGCCACACAGCCCCTGGCATCAGCACGCCAGCACCGGTACGTACAGGTGAGCGAGTCTATGCCCCGCTGGAAACCCACATCAACACCCAAGATTCCCAGGAAGGCCTGCCTGGTTGGTGACTGGACCCCCGCTGCCCACGCCACATGTACATGGGCAACACGCCAGCTCACATGCATGCACAGGCCTTTCAGGGACACTTCCCTGTCCTCAGATGAGAAAACAAACACAAACCAAGAATAGGAAGACACATAGGACGTGATGATGTGGCGAGCAGCTCAGACCCCGAGTCCTACCAGCTAATACCCTCTGACATGACCATCGTTAGAACGGCTCTGAAACCAGACTCTTGCGCCAACCGAGCTGAGCGGGTGCGGTCCCCACAGAGAGAACAGCCAACTGAAACCACTGTGCTGGGACCGAGCTGGGGTCCCACAGAAGGGGCGTCTCTGAGTCAGTAAGCGAACGGGTCTATGGCTGCACAAAAGCCCGTCTGCCAGTTTCTGGGAACCACGTGTGTATCTCGTGCACATGAGAGATGAGGTAACAGCTCTCTCCTCAGTTGGGGGACATGGGAGCTGCACCTGGGGGTCCAGGTGTGTAGAAAGATGGCGCTGCGAGCGCGTGCCGCACTCAGGGAGTCACGAGCTCTGGCTGATACCAGCCACTGAGCTGTGCTTAATGAGCTGTAAGGAGAAGACTTTCGGACCTTGCCCTGTCCGGCCGTGGACACACACTGCCCTTGGTGGACGAGAGAGAGTGGAGTCCATGGAAGGGGTGTGACTCGTCCATGGCCCCAACCCCAGGGAGCAGGCACACCGGGAGCCCCAAGGCCTCAAACCTGCCCAGGGCCCATCTGGAGCTTCTGCTTGCTGTCAGGTCAGCCTGACCGTGGCACACAGAGCCCTGGCTGAGGCGGCTTTCTCACTGGGCTGACAAGAGTGGGTTAACCGTGAAGCATCCCCTCACTCACCAAATTTGGACAGGATGTCCTGCTGCTCCTCCCGGCTGGAGAAGAGGATTTTGGGATTGAGTCCCTTCATGCTTAGGCTATCCCATGGCGGGACCTCTCGGCTTGGCCGGTCGCGGGGCTCCACCTCCACCTCAAGGTTCACTTGGAACAAGTCGGGGTACTTCTCCTGGATATCACACGCATCCAGGTCATACCTGAAAGGTCAAGCATGGCGGTTTACAGACCCTCACTGAGCGCACCGCCCCCCCCGCCCAAGTCCCTTTCTCATCTAGAGAAGAAACCAGAGAAGACGTGTCTCCTTGGGCAGGGAGGCAACGGCACACGGTGCTGACCAGGTGCCGGCTGCTGCACATGTCACAGAGCGCCCGCTCAGGGCCGAGCCATGCCGGTGTTTGGTGAACCAACTGTGCTGTGGCCTCGTAAGAGCTATAGGCACACAGTGACAGAGGAGCCCATCCACTCTTGGACCCAAGCCAGATGCACATGAGGAGGTGGGCCGTCATTTCAGTGTCACCGCTTAGAACGCTAGGCACATCTGAGGAGAAACCACACAGTGGGGTCCTTCTACTCAGGAGCCCTCCTCATCCTCACAGGCTGACAGGCCCATTGCTGATGTCATCCTAGGGTTTCCAGGTCTCAGTCGTGTGCACTGCCATGCCACCAAAGTCCAGCAGGGGGCAGCCTCAGAAGGCAAGTCCTCACCTTAGATGCCTACGGCCATGCACCATGCCCAGACTACAAGAGCCCTGTCTGCACCCCTGGGGGGTGGGCTGAAGCCCTACCCTTTCGGGATGACTCACTTCCTTGAGCCAACTCATCCATCACAGTGTGTGTGTAGATGAGGTGAGTGGCTCAGGGTCTGACACCTGAGGGATCTTACACTCAGTCCTCATCCAAACGACATCCACGCTGGCACAATTCCCAGAGTTCTGCTGAGAACCTGAAAATATAACCTGAGGGATCCAGCCACCGGGGACTGGAAACGGCTCCAGATGTGTGCTACAGGTGGGCCTAGGCACCGTGGGAGACAGGTAGTAAAAATAAACTCCTGGGTCATATGTATACCGGGGTGGTCTTGGTTGCCACCTTGCTGAGCTATACTCCAGTGTTTTCCATCTAAGATGGTCTCTGGTATCATTTTCACAAACTATACTGAGTTCAGCTGGACTAGCTCCCCTAAGTTCATCGTATTTTATACTAGCTCTGGTAGCACAAAGGTTACGAACCGGGCTGCCAACCTCAAGGTCAGCAGTTCGAAACTACCAGCTGTTCCGCAGAAGAAAGATGAGGATTTCTGCTCTGGTAAAGATTTACAGTCTCGGAAACCCTGTGCAGGGTTGCTATGGGTCAGAACTGAGTCGGAAGTCCAACCAGCACACAGCCACCACCACTGTAGTATATGAAGAATGTGGCATCAGGATTGGAGGAAGACTCATTAATAACTTGTGATAGGCAGATGATACAACCTAGCTTGTTGAAAATGAAGAGGACTTAAAATACTTACTGACCAAGATCAAAGAGCACAGCCTTCAGTATGGATTGCAGGTCATTGTAAAGAAAACAAAAATCCTCCCCACTGGACCAATAAACAACATCATGATAAATGGACACAAGAAGTTCTAGTGTGGCACCGTAGGATGACCACTGCACCGAAGGATCAGTGGTTTCAATGGTAAAGCCAGTGGTTCACTCCTTGGTTGGTTGGTTTTATGCCAATTCACAGCGACCCCGTATGTGGTTTCTTTACAGAAGCAGAAAGCCTCATCTTTTTCCTGCAGAACTACTGGTAGTTTCAAACTGGTGATCTTGAAGTTGGCAGCCCAGCTCGCAACCACTCCACTACCAGAGCTCCTTCGTTATTATTCCTTGGAAACACTATATAGGGCTGCTATGGCATTTAACAAGGAGCTCTGGTAGTGTAGCAGTTACAAATTGGGCTGCTAACCTCAAGGTCAGCAGTTCGAAACTACCAGCTGTTCCGTGGGAGAAAGATGAGGCTTTCTGCTCCCATAAGGATTCGCAGCGTTGGAATCCCTGTACGGGGTCGCTATGAGTTGGAACCGACTCCACGGCACTTAACAACAACATGGCCCTTAATAACAACATCGTATGGAGAAAGACTGAAGCTGTTGAAGACTTCACTGTGCTTGGATCCACTATCAACACTCATGGAAGCAGCAGTCAAGAAAGCAAACGACGTACTGCATTAGGCAAATGTGCTGCACAAGAAGTCTTAAAAAGTGTTCAAGAGGACAGATGTCAGTGTGGGGACTAAGGTGCGCCCGACCCAAGCCGTGGTGTTTTCAGTCACCTCACATACATGTGAAAGTTGGACAATGAATAAGGAAGACCATAGAAGAACTGATGCATTTGAGTTATGATGTTGGAGGAGAATATTAAAGGTACCATGGACTGCCAGAAGAACCAACAGGTCTGTGTTGGAAAAAGTACAGCCAGAGTGCTCCTTAGATGGCAAGACCTCATCTCTCAGACTTCTGACATATGATCAGGAGGGACGTGTCCCTGGAAGGACGGACATCATGCTTGGTAAAGTGGAGGGAAAGCGAAAAAGAGCAAGGCCCCCAATGAGATGGACAGGCCAGCGGCAGCAGCACTGAACTCAGACATTCCAACAACTGTACATGTGGCACAGGACCGGGTACGGTTTGGTTCTGTTGTGTGCAGGGTCACTATGAGTCGGAACTGACCCAACAGTACCTACCAATAACAACGGGCAATAAAATGCACCCCAAAAAGCACGTATTTCTTAAACTGTCAAGCACACTAGTTTAGTGGTCTCTGCGACTCTCCTCCCAGCCAGAATCCCTGTGGAAGGGCAGAAAACCACGACAGTGACCAGCGGTGGCGAGCAGCAGCTCGGCCCGGAAGCAGCAGTTTTGCTTCTGTCCTGGAGTAAACCCTGGAAGGCTTGGCATGACCTTCACACAGGAAGAGCGGCCCACCCTGCTCACCAGGGTCCATGGTAGCTTCTCAGAGGACAGGAGGTGTCCCAGAAGCCCAGGCCAGTGAGTGGCCCCTTGGCCCCGACCCCCCTGGCTTCCCAGGAGACCGTACAGGTGAAAGTTTGCCCAGGCACGAAGTGCTGACACCAGAACTCCTGGGCCAGAGTCAGAAGCCACTGTGGGGTTCATAAAGGGACCACAAGGGGCCAGTGGGCTGGAAAGGCCACAGCAAGCTGCACCCCGTCTGAGACAGCAGAAACAACAGTGGGTTTTCATGCCGCCAGCACCACACATGGTCCCTCCTCATGACCACGAGGAAAGGCTCAGGGTCCCCTTCCTGATTGAGGAGCAGGGGTCACGTACCCTCAAAGGACTGTGGCGCCCAGTTGTGTCCAACTCCACCAGGCTGGGCCGAGATGCTGGGGGCCATGCATCAGGAGGCTAGCTCCAGCCCCAGTCACCCCCCAGTCTGCAGGTGGCCTGCCTGGCTCAGCCCAGTGATTACTGAGGGAACAATGCAGGCTCTGTGAGCAGGGGCAGCAGCCCCCTGACCCCTGCCCGACTACTGGAGGACCTATGTGCAAGCTGCTCTGGGTGGGGACCAGCAGTCTCAGACGTGCCTGGCCAGGAAGCAGAGATGCCGCCCGTGGAACTGACGGCAGTGCTGTGTCTGACGCTGAGTGCCATTACCCTCTTTGGCCAACAGGAGGCGCTCAAGGCTGGTTCCCAGGCACAGGTCAGGCTCCTCTGAGCATGCGCTCACACTCTACTGTTCCACATGCCTCTGCAAAGCCAAGCCAGCCCAGGGCCGGCACCCCTCCACGCTCCTGCACCCACTGGTCCCGTCCAGTCTTCTCTGCCATGTGAAGGAGGTGTTTGGAAGTATTAACATTCATAATAAACATACAGAGCTTACAGTCTGTTGTTAGGTACGGCTGAGTCAGCGTTCTCATTCACAGAGACACTATGCACAACAGAAGGAAACAATGCCCGGTCCTACACCATCCTCACAAATGTTAGGATTGAGCCCATTGCTGCTGCCACTGAACCAATCCAGCTCATTGAGGGTCTTCCTCGTTTTCACTTTACTAAGCATAATGTCCTTTTCCAGGGACTGGTACAAACTGAAGAATGGCGTCACATTCATCATCAAAAAGAGCATTTTAAGATCTATCTTGAAGTACACTGCTGTCTGTGATAGGATAATATCCATATGCCTACATGAAAGATCAGTAAAAACCACTATTATTAAAATCTATGCATGGGGAGAACTAACAAGATGGCAGATCGGGAGGAAGTGCAGTAAGGAGCTCCGTCAGCAACAACACAGAATACTGGACCAAGCAGGCTCAGGGGATGGACCCAGAACTCTGAACCAATAAAGGAATATTGACAAGGTTGGAAGGCTTACAGCTAAGGGAATTTGTAGCAGAAGCAAGAAATCCATTGCTTTCTAATCCAAGATGATCAACTGCTCCAGGAGCCGCCATCTTGGGTGAGACCAAGCAGGGGAAGGATCAGAATAGCCATGGACGCCTGACAGAACCA